TGTGGTGTTCTCTAGTTCTCTCACCTGTGGTGTTCTCTAGTTCTCTCACCTGTGGTGTTCTCTAGTTCTCTCACCTGTGGTGTTCTCTCTCTCACCTGTGGGTTCTCTAGTTCTCTCACCTGTGGTGTTCTCTAGTTCTCTCACCTGTGGTGTTCTCTAGTTCTCTCACCTGTGGTGTTCTCCAGTTCTCTCACCTGTGGTGGTGTTCCTGTGGTGTTCTAGTTCTCTCACCTGTGGTGTTCTCTAGTTCTCTCACCTGTGGTGTTCTCTAGTTCTCTCACCTGTGGTGTTCTCTCAGTTCTCTCACCTGTGGTGTTCTCTAGTTCTCTCACCTGTGGTGTTCTCTAGTTCTCTCACCTGTGGTGTTCTCTAGTTCTCTCACCTGTGGGTTCTCTGTTCTCTCACCTGTAGTTCTCTCACCTGTGGTGTTCTTCAGTTCTCTCACCTGTGGTGTTCTCCAGTTCTCTCACCTGTGGTGTTCTCTAGTTCTCTCACCTGTGGTGTTCTCTAGTTCTCTCACCTGTGGTGTTCTCTAGTTCTCTCACCTGTGGTGATCACCAGTTCTCTCACCTGTGGTGTTCTCTCTAGTTCTCTCAGTTCTCTCACCTGTGGTGTTCTCTAGTTCTCACCTGTGGTGTTCTCTCACCTGTGGTGTTCTCTAGTTCTCTCACCTGTGGTTCTGTGGTGTTCTCCAGTTCTCTCACCTGTGGTGTTCTCTCAGTTCTCTCACCTGTGGTGTTCTCTCACCTGTGGTGTTCTCTCACCTGTGGTGTTCTCTAGTTCTCTCACCTGTGGTGTTCACCAGTTCTCTCACCTGTGGTGTTCACCAGTTCTCTCACCTGTGGTGTTCACCAGTTCTCTCACCTGTGGTGTTCTCTAGTTCTCTCACCTGTGGTGTTCTCTAGTTCTCTCACCTGTGGTGTTCTCTAGTTCTCTCACCTGTGTTCTCTAGTTCTCTCACCTGTGGTGTTCTCTAGTTCTCTCACCTGTGGTGTTCTCTCACCTGTGGTGTTCTCTAGTTCTCTCACCTGTGGTGTTTTCTCACCTGTGGTGTTCTCTAGTTCTCTCACCTGTGGTGTTCTCTAGTTCTCTCACCTGTGTGTTCTCTCAGTTCTCTCACCTGTGGTGTTCTCTAGTTCTCTCACCTGTGGTGTTCTCTAGTTCTCACCTGTGGTGTTCTCTAGTTCTCTCACCTGTGGTGTTTCTCTCACCTGTGGTGTTCTCTCTAGTTCTCTCACCTGTGGTGTCTCACCTGTGGTAGTTCTCTCACCTGTGTGTCTCTAGTTCTCTCACCTGTGGTGTTCTCTCACCTGTGGTGTTCTTCAGTTCTCTCACCTGTGGTGTTCTCCAGTTCTCTCACCTGTGGTGTTCTTCAGTTCTCTCACCTGTGGTGTTCTTCAGTTCTCTCACCTGTGGTGTTCTCCAGTTCTCTCACCTGTGGTGTTCTCTCACCTGTGGTGTTCTCTCACCTGTGGTGTTCTCTCACCTGTGGTGTTCTCTAGTTCTCTCACCTGTGGTGTTCTCTAGTTCTCTCACCTGTGGTGTTCTCTCACCTGTGGTGTTTCATCAGTTCTCTCACCTGTGGTGTTCTCTAGTTCTCTCACCTGTGTGTGTTCTCTAGTTCTCTCACCTGTGGTGTTCTCTAGTTCTCTCACCTGTGGTGTTCTCTAGTTCTCTCACCTGTGGTGTTCACCAGTTCTCTCACCTGTGGTGTTCACCAGTTCTCTCACCTGTGGTGTCTCTCACCTAGTTCTCTCACCTGAGGTGTTGTGTGGTGTTCTCTAGTTCTCTCACCTGTGGTGTTCTCTAGTTCTCTCACCTGTGGTGTGTTCTCTCACCTGTGGTGTTCTCTAGTGTGGTGTTCAGTTCTCTCACCTGTGGTGTTCTCTAGTTCTCTCACCTGTGGTTCTCTCACCTGTGGTGTTCTCTAGTTCTCTCAGTGTTCTCTAGTTCTCTCACCTGTGGTGTTCTCACCTGTGGTGTTCTCCAGTTCTCTCACCTGTGGTGTTCTCTCACCTGTGGTGTTCTTCAGTTCTCTCACCTGTGGTGTTCTCCAGTTCTCTCACCTGTGGTGTTCTTCAGTTCTCTCACCTGTGGTGTTCTCCAGTTCTCTCACCTGTGGTGTTCTCCAGTTCTCTCACCTGTGGTGTTCTTCAGTTCTCTCACCTGTGGTGTTCTCTAGTTCTCTCACCTGTGGTGTTCTCTAGTTCTCTCAGTTCTCTCACCTGTGGTGTTCTCTAGTTCTCTCACCTGTGGTGTTCTCTAGTTCTCTCACCTGTGGTGTTCTCTAGTTCTCTCACCTGTGGTGTTCTCTAGTTCTCTCACCTGTGGTGTTCTCTGTGGTGTTAGTTCTCTCACCTGTGTGTCTCTCACCTGTGTGTCTCTCTGTGGTCTTAGTTCTCTCACCTGTGGTGTTCTCTAGTTCTCTCACCTGTGGTGTTCTCTCACCTGTGGTGTTCTCTCACCTGTGGTGTTCTCTCACCTGTGGTGTTCTCTCACCTGTGGTGTTCTCTCACCTGTGGTGTTCTCTCACCTGTGGTGTTCTCTCACCTGTGGTGTTCTCTAGTTCTCTCACCTGTGGTGTTCTCTAGTTCTCTCACCTGTGGTGTTCACCAGTTCTCTCACCTGTGGTGTTCTCTCAGTTCTCTCACCTGTGGTGTTCTCTCAGTTCTCTCACCTGTGGTGTTCTCTAGTAGTTCTCTCACCTGTGGTGTTCTCTAGTTCTCTCACCTGTGGTGTTCTCTGTAGTTCTCTCACCTGTGGTGTTCTCTCTCTAGTTCTCTCACCTGTGGTGTTCTCTCACCTGTGGTGTTCTCTCACCTGTGGTGTTCTCTCACCTGTGGTGTGTTCTCTCTCAGTTCTCTCACCTGTGGTTCTCTCACCTGTGGTGTTCTCCAGTAGTTCTCTCACCTGTGGTGTTCTCTCAGTTCTCTCACCTGTGGTGTTCTCCAGTTCTCTCACCTGTGGTGTTCTCTCAGTTCTCTCACCTGTGGTGTTCTCTAGTTCTCTCACCTGTGGTGTTCTGTTCTCTCACCTGTGGTGTGTTCTCTCACCTGTGGTGTTCTCTAGTTCTCTCACCTGTGTTCTCTAGTTCTCTCACCTGTGGTGTTCTCTAGTTCTCTCACCTGTGGTGTTCTCTTCACTCAGTTCTCTCACCTGTGGTGTTCTCTAGTTCTCTCACCTGTGTGTAGTTCTCTCACCTGTGGTGTTCTCTCACCTGTTCTCTCACCTGTTCTCTCACCTGTGTTGTTCTCTCACCTGTGGTGTTCTCTAGTTCTCTCACCTGTGGTGTTCTCTAGTTCTCTCACCTGTGGTGTTCACCAGTTCTCTCACCTGTGGTGTTCTCTAGTTCTCTAACCTGTGGTGTTCACTAGTTCTCTCACCTGTGGTGTTCACCAGTTCTCTCACCTGTGGTGTTCTCTAGTTCTCTAACCTGTGGTGTTCACCAGTTCTCGCACCTGTGGTGTTCTCTAGTTGTCTAACCTGTGGTGTTCACCAGTTCTCTCACCTGTGGTGTTCTCTCACCTGTGGTGTTCTCTAGTTCTCTCACCTGTGGTGTTCTCTAGTTCTCTCACCTGTGGTGTTCTCTAGTTCTCTCACCTGTGGTGTTCTCTAGTTCTCTCACCTGTGGTGTTCTCTAGTTCTCTCCCCTGTGGTGTTCTCTAGTTCTCTCACCTGTGTTCTCTAGTTCTCTCACCTGTGGTGTTCACTAGTTCTCTCACCTGTGGTGTTTTCTAGTTCTCTCACCTGTGGTGTTCACCAGTTCTCTCACCTGTGGTGTTCACCAGTTCTCTCACCTGATGTGTTCTCTCACCTGTGGTGTTTCATCAGTTCTCTCACCTGTGGTGTTCACCAGTTCTCTCACCTGAGGTGTTCTCTCACCTGTGGTGTTCACCAGTTCTCTCACCTGTGGTGTTCTCTCACCTGTGGTGTTCTCTCACCTGTGGTGTTCTCTCACCTGTGGTGTTTCACCAGTTCTCTCACCTGAGGTGTTCACCAGTTCTCTCACCTGAAGTGTTCTCTCACCTGTGGTGTTTACCAGTTCTCTCACCTGAGGTGTTCACCAGTTCTCTCACCTGAGGTGTTCTCTCACCTGTGGTGTTCACCAGTTCTCTCACCTGAGGTGTTCACCAGTTCTCTCACCTGAGGTGTTCTCTCACCTGTGGTGTTCACCAGTTCTCTCACCTGTGGTGTTCACCAGTTCTCTCACCTGAGGTGTTCACCAGTTCTCTCACCTGAGGTGTTCTCTAGTTCTCTCACCTGTGGTGTTCTCTAGTTCTCTCACCTGTGGTGTTCACCAGTTCTCTCACCTGATGTGTTCTCTCACCTGTGGTGTTCACCAGTTCTCTCACCTGAGGTGTTCACCAGTTCTCTCACCTGAGGTGTTCTCTCACCTGTGGTGTTCACCAGTTCTCTCACCTGAGGTGTTCACCAGTTCTCTCACCTGAGGTGTTCTCTAGTTCTCTCACCTGTGGTGTTCTCTAGTTCTCTCACCTGTGGTGTTCACCAGTTCTCTCACCTGAGGTGTTCTCTCACCTGTGGTGTTCACCTGTTCTCTCACCTGAGGTGTTCTCTCACCTGTGGTGTTCACCAGTTCTCTCACCTGTGGTGTTCACCAGTTCTCTCACCTGTGGTGTTCACCAGTTCTCTCACCTGTGGTGTTCTCTCACCTGTGGTGTTCTCTCACCTGTGGTGTTCTCTCACCTGTGGTGTTCTCTCACCTGTGGTGTTCTCTCACCTGTGGTGTTCTCTCACCTGTGGTGTTCTCTCACCTGTGGTGTTCTCTCACCTGTGGTGTTCACCAGTTCTCTCACCTGAGGTGTTCTCTCACCTGAGGTGTTCACCAGTTCTCTCACCTGTGGTGTTCACCAGTTCTCTCACCTGTGGTGTTCACCAGTTCTCTCACCTGTGGTGTTCACCAGTTCTCTCACCTGTGGTGTTCACCAGTTCTCTCACCTGTGGTGTTCACCAGTTCTCTCACCTGAGGTGTTTTTCAACAGGTGTCGAGCAGAAACTCACCAAGCGAAGAGGTATGCGGGTCCCAGATGAGAAGGGCGTCTGGGGAGAGAGGGTCGACTGTGGGCGTAGGTAAGACGCCGCCCACGACCTGCCCGCCCGTATATGCAGACGGGAGGTCACCCACAAGGTCAGGACTTGACACCCAAGGCACCACGCACGCAAAAGACCTGGCCACGCACGCAAGAGACATCGCAATGCACGCAAAAGACGTCGCCAAGCACTCCCATATACTTATGAACTCTGCCCAGGAGGGTGAAAGGAGTGGGGCGTCCAAACCTGGTATTGACGGGCCATGTGGGCCATGTGGGCCATGTGGGCCGCGCCCTCGGCCCACCAGCCTGGACGTGGCCCACCAGGGGTCGCTGCTGAAGGCCCTCAGGAAGAGCAGCCCGGTGGATGCACTCAAGGACAGATTTCTGAGTCAGTTGACGCCCACGAGTGAAGGGTCCCCAGCCGGCACAGATGTGCACTACATACCTGTGGCCGTGGAGGCCAGCAAGACTGTCCCCACTGCCAGGTGTGTGGACGCCCCCCACACACCTGCTGCAGCGGAGTCCCTCCACACACCTGCAGCGCCCCGCCACACACCTGCAGCAGTGCCCCTGTGTCAGCGGCGAGGCAAGGGCGTGGACAGTCTGCTGATTGTCGAGGATAATGACAGCAGCGTCAGTTCTAGTGAGGAGGAGGCCTCGCCAGGCGAGGAGAGTAGTGAAGCAGCGTCAAGTGAGGGCGGCGGCGAGGGGGCGGCCAAGAGGAGGGACCAGCTGACAGATAACCTGACAGCTGGCAACTCCAATGCGCTGGACGGCAGCCTTGACCGGCTGAAGCGCGGCTGTTCCAGTGGCGAGGCTGGCGAGGCTGACTCACCGGCCAGTCTCCGCGGCGTCAGCAGCCAGTCCCTCCGGCTGTCTCCGTCAGACGGCGACGCTGACGTTGACAAGCTTATCAGTCAAGCTCAACGAGTGATCAAAGAAACCAGGAGATTGTCGGCCACTAACGACCCTCCTTTCGTTAACGACCTGGGCCACGATACAGGCAGGAGAAACAAGTGCGCAGCGGCGGCCGCCGGGTACAACTTGGCGCCAAATATCGCCTCGCCCGAGTCTAACTTGGTGGAGGTCGAGGAGGAGTGTGGGGGGGCCGAGGAGACTGTTGTGGAGGGCTGCTTGTCCATACCCCTCCGTGGGGCACGCCCACGCCGCACCACCACGCCCGTCCGCCCACGGCCAGCGCCGCCCACAGCTGACAACTGCCTACTGATAGAGCCCCTGGCCGAGGGCGATGACGTGGCCGAGGAGACTCGGCCGACGAAAGTAACTAGTCCAGAAATACAGAGCAGTGACGTCATGGGTTGTGAGAGAAGGGGGGGAGGCGGGGGGCGGCCCTCCCTGCACGGTGAGGGGCGGCCCTCCCTGCACGGTGAGGGGCGGCCCTCTCTAGTGGCTCCCAGCGCCCTCTCACACCAGCGACCACCCTCCGCCCGCGACAGGATGGGCGGCTTCTTCTCACGCCCGCGCTCTGACCTCCCTCCGCCGCCCACAGCTGTCACCCCGCCCACGCCGCCCACGCCGCCCACGCCCAGGGCGCGCGAGCGCTCCTGCACGCCCCTGGACGAGCCTCACGTACCCTCGTACGTCAGACAGAAGTCAGAACCTTCTAGAAGATACAGCGGTTTCGGCCACGTCCAACTGGACAATGTGAGGAAGATGCGTGAGGCTTGGAGCTCCAAGCAGCAGTCTCCGCCTCGCCAGCACCAGCGGCAGCAGTCTCTGCCTCGCCAGCAGCAGGGGCGGGAGTCTCCCACACGCCACCAACAGCGGCGGGAGTCTCCCACACGCCACCAACAGCGGCAGGAGTCTCCCACACGCCACCAGCAGCGGCAGGAGTCTTCGCCTCGCCATCAGCAGCGGCGGGAGTCTCCCACACGCCATCAACAGCGGCAGGAGTCTTCGCCTCGCCATCAACAGCGGCAGGAGTCTTCACCTCGCCATCACCAGCGGCAAGAGTCTTCGCCTCGCCATCAGGAGCGGCAGGAGTCTTCGCCTCGCCATAAGGAGCGGCAGGAGTCTTCACCTCGCCATCAACAGGAGTCTTCGCCTCGCCATCACCAGCGGCAGGAGTCTCCGCCTCGCCATCAGCAGGGGCGGCGGGAGAAAAGGGTGCCACCCAGCCCGCCGCCCTCGCCCAAGCGGCCGGCTGACACGCCCCTCGCCAAGAACTCGCCCACGCCCGCCAGGCGGTCACCCACGAACAACTACTCCAAGCCAACACTGAGCAGCAGGAACAGGAGCAGCGCCTCGCCTCGCCGCGGCAGCGCGTCCAGCACAGAGGGCGCCTCGCCTGCCACTCGGGATGGCAGCCGCAGCGCCTCTGCCAGATCAGGACGGCCGCAGGCAGACAGTTATAGCTCAGGTGCGGCTGCGGCAGGCAGGCGAGGCTCGCCCGCACGCGCCGCGCGCTCCTCGCCGCCACCAGCCTCGCCCTTCCACCAGAAGTTATTCCGGCGGTTGAGGAATGCAAGCCTTCAGCCTGACAGTGAAACTATAAGCTTTACTGAGGAGGATGACAGATACAAG